ATATATATATATATATATATATATATATATATATATATATATATATATATGTATGTATGTATGTATGTATGTATGTATATATGTATAAAATAGCAATTAATAAGACTAGTGTCTCTATAAATATGTATAAAAGGCGAACAAGATTGCAATACCAAGTGATATATAAAAACTATTATGTGTTTCTAAAGCATTTCGCGATATTTCAAAAATTTTATAACAGCGAGAAATTAAAGCGAGACTTTTTTTTGTCATTCTAGCCACGCAAATGCAGACTAGCATATTTTCATATTCCTATAATTAACTGTAAAAATATCAGGGAGAATATCCGGAATTGAAATCTAAGTAGAATTTTGGGTGATAATACTTCGACGTTCACACGTGTGTTTTACACCCTTTTTGGTTTTGATACAATTGCGTATTCGCTGTTGTTAAAAACTTTGTGCTGTGGACCACCTGTGGTACTAGTAACGGAAGCGTTCTCAGATAAATCCGTCTTCTTCCGAATAATACCATATCCTAAGTGACTGTCGTCAGCTAATCTAACGGCAGACATATCCTCAACGATATCATAATTAGACCATGTCGGATTAACGAGATTGCAATTAGCGCTATCTGCGTGAGAGACGTTGGAATGCATATTTTGCGAGGAGTTTGTATTATATTTATATTGACTATGTTTCGACGCAGACCCAAAGTGTTCCAATTTATCGTAGTCCGACTCCTCTTTCACGATATTCTGCATCACCGATGGCGTAATGATTTCTTTACTTTTGCAGGAATTTGGATATGGTGCAACAGGCATCATGACCTCGTACTGAAAATCATCATTGTCGTTCTCTTCGTCTCTCTCATCGGGTAAATCCGCGTTCATCCTCTCGGTATGATGCACGCTATCGATACCGTGCGTTTTCCAGGCGTCATTTCTGATCTCTACCAAATCGTAGGAATGTCTCCCGTCATCTTCGCACGTACTATCGATCGCTTTATGAGATAGTTCCGGCGAATTAGCCTGACTCAGACTTCTATATTCTCCGCATGTAGGTAAATCCAGAAATTCTGAATCGACATTCTTTTTCTCCAGCAGATTGCCGAAAACGTACTTTCGTGGTGGCTTGGCGGGTTTGGACTTATTTGTGGATCTGGTTGACGAGGTGATGGAATCCACGCTCGATGACGAGCTCATTTGCTTTTGGGAATTTTGCGAACTGGAGAAATCTATGTCGATTAAATTGCTAGAATTGTTCGGCGAAGGCGGTAAAGCCGCTCTAGAGCCGGGTTCCATTGACAGGGCTGCGCGGAGAGCGTCGTTGCAATCTATGCTCGGATTATTCTCCTCGTTCAGTAACTTTTTCATGGACCTCATTTTAGAATACATGCATCGGAATATCTCCTGCTGGCTACTATGCTCCAAACGGAAGGAGCCCTCTCCGGACTCGCACTTTCTCCCAGCTTCAAAGATGAACTTGCCATCCCTGTATCCATATCTCCTGATATACCTGTACGGCCATGTGAACAGAACGATGTCACCGTCCATCAATTTCATATCGACCGATGCAACCACTAATGTGTAATTTCTTGCCTCCAACCCACACCGCTTAGACGCGTCTGTTTCAACGACTTTAACGGAAAATACGCCCTCTCCACTTGTGCAATACAGATCGTTGTTCTCTTCTATCGTTTGATTAGAGACGCTATCCTTGAAGGCGACCAACTGGAATGCCATGATCCATTGACTCATCTCCATCTCCGAATAACAGCCAAAATAATGTATTCCTGATTTAGTCACCACCTAGGTAAAACAAACTCAATGGTTAAATAATTTTCTGAGATAATGACAATAGCAAAAAAGATATAAACAGTGCTGCAAAAAAAAAACAAAAGAAAAAATCAGGCTACAAATACATACAGTAAAAACATGCGACTGGTTGCTAGGAGCAATTTTTATACAAGCATCTAGGGTGATGATACGTGGAGAATGAGATTGCATTATTGCTTCCTCTTGATTATCATAGATTTCCACACGTTTGATCCCATAATTACTTGTTCTGAAAAGCTGGCAAAATCTCTTGTGCCATGTTTTCTGGAAGCAGATAAACAAAGAGATCAGGTAACATTTAGAATTTGCTCAACTAACTTATCAAGCTTGTATTTACATATGAATATGTGTTTACTTCACAGTATTCTGTGATATAAATAGAGACTGATAATATAAGGGAATTTCAATGCCATCTTTGCAGAATATATTCTTCTTAAAAGTTCATGCTTTCCAAAATATTTTTTTAAGTGACTATTCAGAAGATACATACATACACAATTCATGGGTATGTCATGCATATACACCTGTAGATCGAGCAGTATAACGGAGGAAGGAGCAGAGTGTGAAAAAAAAACGAGGAGGAGAAGGAGGAGGTAGAGAGGATGGGCTGTTCGCAGATGATGCACTGTCCCGTTATCGCGTATCGCGACAACCTAATGCATCCTGAGTGATTTCCGCGCGAGACCAACCTTGAGTTGGCCTAGCATTCCCTGCGGCGGTAGCAGGAGAATCCCTTGCATCAGAGGTTCCTCGGGCTCCATTGCGGCCGATTGAACATCGGCGATGTCGCGAAGTCGCTCCTCGTGCTCGCGGCGGCTCGTGTCAAAGCCGTCGCCTTTGTTCTCGCAGTTGTCTCACGGGAAGGGAGAGAAAGATAGAAAAGGAAAAGAACAGACAATTCTCGCACTTTCACTCGGACTTTTCGTCTTTCAGCCGTGCCCCGTCTATCTCGCTTCCTGGCTCTCTCGCGCACCCCAGGTTTCTGAACGCGTTGTCTCGCTCGTGCGTGATCTGACAGCTACTACCGCCAAAGTGCTATTCAGCCCATGGTAACGTAGGACGCCTGACATTTCACGGGGATACGAGGCTAACGTAAACGCGCGCACTAGCTATGCATGCGAATGTAAACGAGGAGCAACGAGAACGGAGCGAGACGCGAGATACGATGTGAGCACGTATGCGTACGCTTTTCTACACAACGCTCATGCATAGTCACACGATTACGATGCGCACCGACTGTCCCGCACTCCCCAGACACTGCCAGCGCGAAAGCACCGCGTGAACTGCACACGCACACGCACGATGTCGTTCGAATCGCCGCGCCGCGCCTCGACCTCCACTGACATCGGCGGCCCGTGTGAACCTACGGTATCAAATTATTGTAAACGATTTTTGACGATTGTTTAGCGCACAAACAACCAGGTTATCTTTACTAGTTTACATAAAAAATTTAATATATGTATTAAATATCTATACAGTATAAATATCTAAAATACATTCTAGAGGGGCGTCTTAGAGAATTTGAACATATCTCGGATATATTTTGGATATATTTGTGCTATATGATTATTTAATACATATATCAAATGTTTGGTGTAAACTTGCCCAAACTGGTATATGTTAATATTTAATATTAATTGATCATATCAACATGTTCGCTGTCAGCGTCGCATATGTATGATGGTAAACAAAATCTTTTTTTTATATCCACATTATCAAACTAATGTGTATTTTTATCAATGTTTGTTAAACCATAATTTGAGTTTCAATTTTATTTAAAGATTTAAACTCAAGGTTTAATCGACGTTCGTACAAATGAGTCATACAGTTTATATAATTATGTAAAAAGGAAATATGAGAGTCTATAGAGAGAGAGAGAGAGAGAGAGAGAGAGAGAGAGAGAGAGAGAGAGAGAGAGAGGGAGAGAGAAAGAGAGGAGTTTTCCAAGCAAACGCGTTAATATTATATTATTAAAATAAATAGCATCATTATTGTTTGTATCGTATTGTTAATTTTAATTATCTGTATAGTACCTCACTGAAAAATTTCTATTGAGATCTCAAATGAGATTTCCGAGAAATTTCCTAGATGAAATCTTAATTGTTTCATATGATATCTCAATCGAGATATCATATGACAAAATAATGAAATCTCAATTAAGATATCATAAAATAGAAAAATAGAAAAACTTTCCTTCTTTAAATTTTTAAATTATAAAATATCAAGTTACTATAATATAATATTTATAAAATAATCTAAAAATGTAAAGAAGGGAAGATTTTCTATTTTTTATATGACCTTAATGGAGATATCATTACTTTATTTTCTCATATAATATCTCGATTGGGATATTATATGAAACAATTTTTATATAAGAAATTTTTCGGAAATCTCACTTGAGATTTCAATAGAAATTTTTTAGTAGAGTAGATTGCTAATTTACACACTTTTTTGCACCTAAAGTTGGCGTCACTTAAAATGGTCACGATTATGAACATACCGCTGATAGGATTGTGTATTAATCGATTACGACAGCTGTTAAAATTGCAATACAATATGTGAAAGTAAATTTTATCAAAATAACGTGACAACGTTAATTAATATTAATTATAATAATTGATATAAATAAGTTTATATCAATATGATATAAATAAGTTTATATCAATATGATATAAATAAGTTTATATTATAAAAATTATAATAAAAAAATTTCAATTTTAATAAAAAATAAAGTAATTTATATTATATGAATAATTTTATACAAAATAATTCGATATTTCCAGACTATTGATTCTTTAACAATAATAAATACGAATGCATTGCATACTTGTAATTATTTACTATCTACTTGTCCGGGTAATATCCGTAAGTTTAACAACATAGTTATTGTATGTAATATTATTATTACTACATCATGGGTAAACCTAGAGCAGTTCTGTTTCTTTATTTTATGTTTACTTCCGTTTACTACGAATGTAAATTGACTTTCGTGTGATAAGTACTTTTCTTCTTTAAAGACTCCATATATCTAGATTTTAAAAAAGTATTATAAAGTATAATTAGTTATAGATCTCGTGATTCAAATAGGTGAAAAACAAATGTAACTTCCAATTTTACCAACTGCAACGCGTTACAAAAACTACATTCATTCTAATACATTCTAAAATTACGTTCATAGTTTTTTTGATAAGGTGCGCT